CTCCTCCGGATAGGGCGACTGCCCAGTGATGCCCGATCCTGCTCAGCACCACCAGCCCCTTCTCGTAGCGTCCATTTGCGCTGATTCTCAGACGTCACATTCAAGCGCGGCGGCCGCTCAGACTTCTGGGAAATGAAGTCCGGGCGAAGGCAGCGCATTGATTGGAAGCACGAACGCCAGAGCCATTTGCGCAGGCGCACTGCTTTCCGGACCTGAAACGGCGAAGTCTTCCTGGGTCTCGAGCACTCTGTTCCGGAGGTGAGGGTTGCCGGTGTGTGTCTTTCTGGAAGGCAGCGGCCTAGAGAAATAGATTGAGGCGTTGGGGAGGTGCTGTGGGAGCAGAACCGGGAGACGCGGGCGGAGCCGACCCGCAGAGTGTACGGGCGACGTCCCGGCAGGAGAGGTGCGGACGGAAAGTTGTCCCCGCCGTGTGTGCGTGCGTTCCGTGGGGTGTGCGCGCTGTTACCGTGGTCTGATGTTGTGCACCCGCTGTGTGTCAGATCTCGTACTTTCAGGTCGGAAGTTTGGAGTCTTCCTCTGCTCCTCCGGTTCCTTCTAGTCGGTGCTTAATGAACGTGGGTGGAACTGACACCAGATCTAGGGTGCCGCCCACTCCGGTCTCTCCCGGTTTCCCAGAAAGCGTCTCAGATTGCCTCATTTAACTTCCAGCTCTGGACTTCCGCTCTAGTGCCGGGGAGAGGGCTTCGTGGAGGAGGTAGGATTTGATGTAAAATGCCACGAAAGAAGTAGCAAAACGTCAGGCAGATTCGAGGAGGAGATCATTTTTATTGGGCCGTATGAATAGGAGGAGACGAGGATGAAGAAAAGTACACTGGGGCCAGGGCACGGAGGGTCAGGAAAAGACCCAGCAGAGTGAACGGTAAGGTCTCAGCCGGGGACCTGTATTCTAAAGGTCACATTCAGAGTTAGAGAGAAGACGGGACGAGTGGCTGGGAGCCGGTTAGGAATGTGGTAGTTGTAAAGCAAGCTCTTAGGGACCTGAATATGATGGTGTTAGTGGTAGGGAATGATACAGACGCCATCGCAAAGCAAGAGTTAAAAGGACCTGGTGATTATATTTGAGGGGGGAGAGAGTGAGGTTCAAGCTTAAATTTGAAACAGTCGAGGGAATAATAGAACTGAGGAGCCCCCTCAAAATCGAAATTCCCAGACTCCAGCCATGGATCAACCTTGCAAGTACTTTTCTAGGCCTAGTGATCTCAGTTGTGCTGTAACTTTCTTGCACACCACTCTACCTCCCTCCCTGTTATTTTCACTATACATCAAAGTAAATATGAGGGGACCTGGAAAAGGTTGTGATAAATGGAATTAAAGTATAAGTAGATTTTGATGCAAAATTTTTTTCTGAAATTTATGTTTGTTTTTTTTTCATAATGAGCATTTTCTGTGATTTTTTTTTTGGGGGGGGGGAGGAAGAGGTTTTTTTATTTGCTGCAGGGCACATGCACTTGCCAGAGAGAGACAGAGAGACAGAAAGTGAAAAATCACCCCCCAGGGGGAATGGCCATGCCACAGTCCCTTCTCCTCCATTCTCCTCTCGGGACCTTGGGCATGTACACACATGTGCCCAGCATGAGTTTAAGCCACCGGGTCCAGGACTCGAACCGCAGTCAACTACATGGGAGTCCAGCGACATAGCCATTACACTAACTGCTGGTCCCTCTGTGAATATTTTGAAAACTATTCGTACATACTGTATTTTTTAAAATAATAAAATATAAAGATTGTAAGAAAGAAAATCACTTGTGTGCCAGCCAGTGGCATGGTGGTTAAGGCAGCCAGATCCCACATGGCTGTAATGCATGGCTCTAGTCACAGACTAGGCATCTTGGAAAACACATTGGGCATGTGTGCATGTGTGTTCAAAATCTCAAAAGGAGACTAGATGAGAAGGGACTGTGGTGTGGCCATCCCTCTTAGGGGGTGCTTTCTCACTTTCCCTCTTTCTCTGTCTCTCTGTGTCTCCCTGGTGAGCACACACACCCTATAACAAATGTAAAAGGAAAAAAAAAAATCAGTTGTAATACTACCACATAAATTTTATTTATGTTTTAGTATATATATAAAAGATTACATTCTTAATATTTTGTAAATTTCTTTTTAAAGTTCTTTTATTTAACTTTATCTTTTTTTTTTTTTTTTAATTTGACCAGAGAGGGATAGAGAGAGAGAGAGTGAGAAAGCAAGCTGCTAGGTCCAGAACTTGAACCACAGTCGGCCATGTGGGAGTCCAGCACCTTTAACCACCGTACCATTTGCTGACCCCGGTATTTTGTAAATTCCTGTGTATTTGTCTTTATTCTTTTTTTTTTAAGAAACAAAATATTACAAATAAAAAGAAACTCTCCTGAGTATCTCTTTCCAGTCCTATCTTTTGCCCTTCTCACATGGGCTCACAATTTGGTGCTTAGTGTCCCATGTAGACTTTTGTAGGTATTATGTTTGTATTTTTAACTTTATATAAATAAGTCATTTCATAATTTAAAAAAAAATTGCTGAGTATTTTATGTCTTTGCAAAGGACCTCTGTTGTTAACATAAGGCTATAGTTCATCTTAGTATGTGATATTCATATATATGTAGGTATATATAATTAGGGTTTTTTTTCTCATTGATTAACACTGAAATTGTCTACAGCTTATCAGTAGTGTTCTTTTTCCCAGTGATTTTTTTTCTTTCTTTTTTTTTGGCCAGAGGGTGCATGTACTCTCCAAAGAGAGGGGGTGAGGGGGAGAGAAAGCACTCCTCGGTGAGGCATGGTCATGCTGTAATCTCATCTCCTTTTCTCAGTCCTGTTGGACCTTTGGGCACCCACGCACATGTGCCCTGTATGTTTTTCAGGCTGCTGAGGCCAGGATTCAAACTGTGTGATCTGGTTGCCTAAACCATCAGGCCAAGGAGCTGGCCCTTCTCCAGTGGTTTCTGATGCCACCTCAGTCCCATATTAGACTTCCGTAAATGCTCGGGATATGTTTGGAGATTTGCTGTTACGGTCCATTGGTCTGCTATGTGGCAATCTTTTCATGGAGATGAACCATTATAGCACAGAGTTCAAGGCAGACGTTGGTTAGAATTCTACCTCAGCCTCTTAAAAGGCCTACATTTTCTAATCCACAAAATAAAGCCTGCTTTACTGACTGAGGAGGATGAAATTATACTATCCTTATATAAAGCACTTGGCATAGTGCCTAGAAATATCAAATGCCAGAAGTGGTAGTTGTTACTAGTAGGAACCAACACTCAGCCTGTACTTGTCCTCACGGCGTAGATTATGGAGCGCAGCCTTGCAGAGGTACACAGCCAGATCATAAGGTGAAGTGTTTCAGTGTTTCATCCTACAGATGGACTGGACCACACACTATTTAACCGAGTCTCCTGTTTGAGCTGTTTCGGGTGTTTCAGATTTTTGCTGCATCATTGTAACATTTACATGAGAGGATACATATAAAGTGCCTAGGAAGTTCCCTGGCACTTAGCTGTCAGTAACAGTTCATGTTCATGAGGATTAATATAAAGCTTTGTATATATTCTTACTTATTTCCTTAGGATAAACTCCCAGGAGAGAATTGCTGAGTCAAAGTATGTATATTTCCAGGCTCTCTCTCTCTCTCTCTCTCTTTTTTTTTTTTAAGGTACTTTTTAAAAAGTTTATATTTAATCATTGTACATTTTTACAGCATATGATGTGGGTTCTCAAAGTATAAATATATTGCATTTTAAACAAGTCAAAGATATTACTGTACACAATAACTTTCCTTTTTTGTGTCTGTTAAATGTTCTTTTTTTTTTTTTTTTTTTTTCCCTGAGCCCCTCCCTCCAACCCCAATTTCTAGGTTCTTGATAGAAGTTGCGATGATCTTTCTAAAGTACCCATCTGTTGATGACATTTAAGTGCTTACATCCTTCAGTGCTCCCCATGCCTGTGGACAAGGTGCCATCCCGAGCTCTCCCAGATGTAGCTGGCCTCTGCCTCCTGCTCCAGCCTTACATTCCCCATTGTACTGCTTATAGCCTAGACTTCCACTGGTTTGTTTTTTTAGTTTATTTCTTTCTTCCATAGAGGGCATGGCCGGGCTGGGAGGGAGATAGGTACCCTGGACAGGGTCTTCCCACGCTGCAATCGTCCCAAGCTGGGCCCTCAGCCAGGATCATCTGCATGGTTCAGCGCACCCAGTGTCTTCAAGTTGGCCTGAGATCTGAACCAGGCCTTCCAGGGATGGGGCTCTAAGACTGTGCAGTGGTGCCCTACCACCCTTGCCACCACAGATGTGCCAACTTCCACCATTCTAAGCTCATTTCAGTTGTTAATCATTTCTATATAGACATACCTCCTTGATTTTTCAAAAGTTGAGGGTCCTGCATAGAAGGGCCCACGGCCTACCCCATGTCAGAACTGGCCTTAGATCCCAACTCTGCCAAGAACGCTGCAGCGTTTCTCCCTCTCCCGCCCCCTCTGGGTGAAGTGAGCCTCGGAGGTGCTGTCATACTTTGCCGTGCATCTCGCTATAGCGCTCGCCCATCCTGTAGGGAGGTATTATCTTGTTTCCTTGTCTGTTCTACGCATTAGGCTATCGCTTCTGGAAGACGAGGATAGCATCGTAACGGTTTTTGTGCTTGGTGTAAATAGTTGGTGCTGAGTAAGTGCCGGTCGACCAGATGGATGAATGAATCACAAGGAGCAGTGACCATACTCCCTGGACTGTCACAGAGTGGTCAAGGTGGCCACAAACAGCCTTCTCCTCCTCCCCAGAACCATGCTATCTCTTCCTTCCCATGAATCCCAGAAATGCTTGATTTAATAATATTGCGACTAGACTTTTGAGAGGGTTAGAGCCTTAGGGAGATCTAAGAGTGAATAAGATGGGGCTGCCTGTAAATTGGAGCCGGTGGGTGCTACTAGGTGAGCTGAGGCACTTCAGGGCCAGGAATTCTTGGGTCTTGGCTTCCGTGCCTCCTCACACGTGTGCCCGAGCTGCCTTCCCCAGCTGCTTCTCATCCACTGTCCATTACGACCTCCTTCCTACCTCCCACGTGGCCCCCAGATTCTCCTTCCCGGTAACCTTGGTTCCCCTGATCCTCGTGGCTACCTGATGACCTTTCAGCTCCTTGTGCACCTGTTCTGACATTTCTTAGTTCATCGTTCCTAAGGAAGGGTGCCGTATTTTCAAGCCCGATTGCATCCCAGCCCCCTGATTACCTGTATGTCACCTCCCTGTGGCCTACTAAGCGTGACTGCAGGAGAGAAGTGCAGGGTCACGTGGTACAGAACGTGGCTGCCCAAGAGCTGCTCTTTTAGCAGAGGTCGTGATCATCCTTATAGTCACCAAGATTATGTGGTTTTGTCCAGTAATGGTTCAGGGCAACTCTGAATGGGAATTTCTGAATGGGTCTAACGTGAGCTTCCCTCACAGGAGCAGAACTCTGCCTCTAGGATCATTGTAAAAAGGCACCGCGTTGTGCTGTAACTCACAGTATCCATGGCCCTGGGCTCTAATTCTGGGGTGGGGCCGGGGTGTTCCTGGCCTTGTTTCAATCCCCCCGTCTTTTGTAGGGTATTGGGAATGAGGGTGGGTGGGTGCACATCTCACGGGTATATGGAGAGGTCTCGCTTGTGGGTCAGAAGGCTGCCAAACAGGACTGACCTTTCTCATACCTTCTTTCTCACCCCACCCGTGCCTCGCCAGGACTCTGCCCTTTTCTGCAAGAAGAGCACATAGGAGGGAATGGCTGCTCTGTATCCAACTGCCATATGCCAGGTGAGGTGGGCCTGTGTGTTTCTGAAATACTCTCGTTGTCTCCAGAATGCAGCCCCTTTTCCTCCTTTGCCTGGAGAACTGCTTTGATTGGACCCAGGCAGGCGATCAAAGACTTACGGGGAGTACTTCCTTCGTGCTTGCCTTGGGGTGTCCTTCAGTGATCTTTCCCTGCCCTTAGCACGAGCCAGTTACAGGTGCATACCCCTGCAGCCTTGGCTCTGACTGGCTTTCCCTAAAGCCAGCGATATGGCTCTGGTTGCAAGGACTGAGGCACCTTGGACTGGTCCTCACTGTCCCTTAGTACATCCAAGTACGGACTGAGAGTAAGCCCCAGTGTTCCAGGGAGTGCTGGCTTAGATTGGGAGAATGTGGTACCAAAAAAGGGACTTCAGAAAGTTCATGGGAAACTGGAATTAAAGTACAAGTTTATTTGGTACCAAAATATTTCTAAATCTGTCTAGTTTTTTCATAGTACACGTTGCCCATGAACTTTTTGAAGACCTCTCCCACCCTGTATCACCTCAGTAAGGTTCTAAGAATTGTGAAGACAGTCTTACTGGACGCAGACTTGTGGCTTGCTCCATTTCTGTCCAAGGGCAGTCTTGAATTATAAACCTAGCCTAGAATTTCTGCAGACACGTCGGAGACTCATCTGGGGGCCCAAGGTGAAAATCTAATCTTACAGAATCACAGAGCTTGAGAGTGAGGTGAGAGGGAGCCTGAAAATGATCTAATCAATATTAGTCCAAAGGTTTGGAAATAAAGAAATAAATAAATACATAGACAATTGGAAAAATTTTGGTAAGGTCATAGATTATAGTATAATGTTATTTTCTTGATTTTATTCATTATGTTGTGATTATACAAGAGAACATTCTTGTTTTTACGAAATAAACACTGAAATATTTAGGATGTTATATCTGCAAGTTACTCAGGAAGTTCAGAGAATGTATATACAGTCATGCGTCACTTCATGATGGGGATATGTTCTGAGAAATGCATCACTAGGCAGTTCTGTTGTATGGATATTAACAGGGCGTGCTCACAGAGCCTAGGTGGTATGGCTGGCTGCACACCGAGGCTGTTTGGGGTAGCATATTGCTGGGCCGAATACTGTAGGAAACCCTAACACAGTGTAAGTACCGACATTTCTGAACGTAGGAAGGAAGAGTAAGCATGATATTCTAGTTCATTCTGTTGCTAATAACAGAAAATACCTGAGTCTGGGTAACTTAAGAGAATAGTTTATTTAGCTCACTAGTCCACAGGCTGAGAGGCCACCTCTGGTGAGGGACTTCTTGCTGGTGGGTAATGTAGTGGAAGGCAAAAAAAAAAAAAAAAAAATGTGTCTGCCCTCCTCACTCCCTCTCCTTATAAACCCACCAGGACTTTGTCATGGTGCCTCATCGCTTCCCGGAGGTCCCACCTTTCAACACCATGATCAGATTAAGTCTCCATGCTCCCAGTGTTGTTACAGTGGCTCACCAGATTCTAGTACATGAATCTAGGGAGACACATTCAAAACATAGCACTTGGTATGTGAGATTTAAAAAATGGTACATCTGTGAGCTGGCAGTTGGCGTGGTGGTTAAGGGTGCTAGATTCCCGCATGGCTGACCGTGGTTCGAGTCCCATACCTGGTGGCTTACTTGCTCTCTCTCTTTGTGGTGAAATTAAAAAAGAATAATAACAAATGGAATTAAATAAATAAATAATTCTTTTTATTTGAATAAAACAACAAGGTACGCCTTTTTAGGGCAGTTACCAAGAGTGCAGCTGGTAGGACTGGGTGAGTCAGTGGTGAGAGCTGAGTGACTATGAAGGCCTGGGACTTTGGACTTTATAAACAGTATACACTTAGGCTACACTAAATTTATAAAAAGGCTTTTTTTCCCCTTTAAAAATAACTTTACCTTACTGTAACTTCTTTATAAAATTTAAATTTCTTTAAGCTTTTCACTCTTTTATGATGATACTTAGCATAAAACACAAATGCATTGTACAGCTGTACAGGGATATGGAATATTTTTCTTTATACCCTTATTCTGTAAGCACGCTCTCTTTTTTTTTCCTTTTAAACTTTTTGTTTAAAACAGATACAAACACACTAAACAGGGTCAGGATCATCAATATCATGTCTTCCACCTCCATGTCTTATCCCACGAAGGTCTCCAGGGCCGTATGGACCTGTCATCTCTCATGACAACCAAGCCTTCTTCTGGAATACCTCCTGAAGGACCTGCCTGAGGCTTTTCTTGAAGAGGTGTCACTCTTTTCAGAAATATGTCCAGCTTGGTTTGTTTCTTTTTTTCATCATAAATTTTTATTGTAAGAAGAATATGCACCATGATCATTCTTCTCTACTACTGAAAACCTTTTAGTAAGATCCATGGTTTTCAAACCTTTTTTCTTCTTTGAGAGAGATTTTTGCTATAGTGTGCATACGGTCACCGGAGAGACAGAGAAAAAGAAAGCAGGAAATCCCCCCCCCCGCCCCCACCACCCACTGTGGGAATGACCATGCTACAGTCCCTTCTCCTCTGTTCTCCTCTCAGATTTTGGACACACACACCCCCACACATGCGCCTGGTGTGAATTTCAAGCTTCCAAGTCCAAGACTTGAACCATGCTCGGCCATGTGGGAGTCCAGCAATGTAACCGTTATGCCATCTGCTGGTCCTGGTTTTCACCCAAACTTTTTAGGAGCTGTTGAAATCTGCAGAAGCTTCGGCTAAACCCTTCATTGTGAATTTTTGTTGTGGGGTCTTTCTCTTTTCGTGCTGTTTCCTTTTTCTTGCCTCTTCCTCAGCTATGTATTCCTGTTAGAATAGTTTTGGTGTTACTAGGCAGTAAAAATGTTTTTTTTTTTTAAGAATTATTTATGGGGCCAGCACATGGCGTGGTGGTTAAATGATCAACCACAGCTTGAGTCCCAGATTTGGCGGCTTGCTTTCTCACTTTCTCTCTCTGGTCAAATTGAAAAATAATGATAATAAATACATAAATAAATAAATTCATATTTTGGGGGGAGAATTATTTAATTTTTTAAAGAATTATTTATTTAATTTTATTTATTCATTCATTTATTTTAATTTGACCAGAGAGAGAGAGAGAGAAAGCAAGCCACCAGGTCTAGGACTCGAACCGTGGTTGGCCATGTGGGAGTGTCTAACACCTTAACCATCATGTCCCTTGCTGGTCCCTATATATTTAATCTTATTTATTATTATTTTTAAAAATTTGCTGTAGGGCACATGGGCTCACCAGACAGACGAGGGGAGTGAGAAAGCAAACTGCCAGATCTGGAAATTGAACCATAATCGGCCATGTGGGAGTCCAGTGTCTTAACCACCATGCCACTAGGAGACCTGGCTGTAGGAATTTTTCTGCTTCTTTTTTTTTCTTAGAGAGATTTTTGCTATAGGGCATGAGCACTCACTGGAGAGACAGAGAAACAGAAAGCAAGAAATCACCCCTCATAGGGGATGGCCATGCCGCAATCCCTTCTCCTCCAGTCTGCTCTCAGGATTTTGGGCACACACACACACACACACACACACACACACACACACACCTGGTGTGAGTTTTTGCCACAGGGTGGGCACCACCATGCCTCTCACAACCGGCATGAGTTTTAAGCCTCCGGGTCCAGGACTCAAACTATGGTCGACTACATGGGAGCCCAGTGATGTAACCATTAAGCCATCCCTTTTCAGCTCCATTTTATGTGGCATGTTATTGACTGAAATGCCATTTTGTGTCACATGACTGTATATATAGACAGAGACAAAGGATAGAGCTAAATGAAAAATATTAACCTTTGGGAAACTGAACAGTACACAGGAATTTTCTGTTGCATTCTTGCAGGTTTTCTGAAGTCTGAAAAAGAGCCCCTGATACTCAGAGGCTCAGTTATAAGTACAGTGGTGTGAGATTATGACCAAGAACTTCATGTCTTGGGCAACTATTGCCTCTTTTTCTAAAGTTCTTCCACGCCCTGCTTTGTCAGAACCATCTCCCGTAGACCCCCTCCACATCCTGCAGGGCTTAACGACATGTTGGTGTGATCCAAGCAAGGGGAGGGCTCGTGAGTCAGGGAGAGTGTGATTGTGCTTTCAGGAATCTGTGACCTTCGAGGATGTGGCCGTGGTCTTCACAGACGAAGAATGGAACCATCTGGTCCCAATTCAGAAAGACCTCTACAGAGAGGTGATGCTGGAGACCTACAGCAGCATCGCCTCACTGGGTAAGGGGCGCTTCCCGGGAGGAGTGAGGCTTTGTCCTATGCTCACGTGGCACCGAGGAATTGATACCTGCCTCCCCCGCCCAACTTGGGTTCTGGGCCACCGAGGATAAGATTCAAATGGAAGGATGCGGCTTAGGTATACAACCACAGTGGGCTTCTTAATACTCACATCTGGACCCACCAAAGGTGATCCAGTCCCCATTACATGGTGGCAGTTTAATCTGTGTGTGAGGAGGCAGGTCTTTATGCCAAAATCAAGTGGCAAATCAAATAGAGAAAACAGTGTTCACACACGTGTTGGTTTACTGCAGAACACACACACACACACACACACACACAAGCTGAGAATAGGGAATGGAGTCACACAGGTAAAAGGAAAATAAGTAAGAGGAAGAGAAAAAGGAAGGTGGACAGCACAACCAAATTCGCCATGTCCGTGGGTGGAATCTTCCATTTGTCCTGTAGACCACTCGCTTCAAAGTCACGCTCCTATGGGTTGGAAATGCTGCCAAGTCTTCACCAATGAAATTCAAAGGCTTTTCCAATCAGCCACATCTCTCTTAGTGGATGGATCCTCCCCAAGAGAGGAGTTACAGTAAGACTCAGCTAGTAATTCAGACCATTCATTCATTCGTTTATATTTTGACCAGAGAGGGCCAAAGAGAGAGAGCGAGAGCAAGACAGACAGAGAAAATGAGAAAGCAAGCTGCTAGGTCCAGGACTTGAACCACAGTCGATCACGTGGGAGTCCAGCACCCTTAACCACCATGCCACCTGCCGGCCCCCAGAGCCCTTTGTTTTTATAGCCAGCTTCTAGATGTCAAAGCTGCGGGGAGAGAATGTCCTGGAGCCCCCTAGGCTCATGACACACATCGACAAGGTAACTGTCTGCTTGTTTGGCTCATCTTCTTTTCTTTTTCTAAAAAAAGAGATTTTTGTTATAGAGAATATGCACTCTCCAGAGAGACAGACAGAGATAGAGAGACAGAAAGTGAGAAATCACCCCCCCAGGGAGGATGTCCATGTTGTGATCCCTTCTCCTTCATTCTCCTCTCAGGATTTTGGGCATGTATGCACATGCACCCAGCTTGAGCTTCAAGCTGCTGGGTCTGGGACTCAAACCTCACTTAGGCATGTGGGAGTCCAGCACCTTAACCACTACACCACCTGCTGTTCCCGAGAGGTGGTGCATCTTGCTGAGGAGAACTTTCTTCTCATGGAAGCCAGAGGAGGGAAAAAACTGGTTTTCCTTTTATTTTAATCTTTTTTAAAAAATTTAATTGCTAGAGGGCACTTATATTCTCCAAAGAAAAACTTACATCTTCTCTCTCCAGAGAGAGAAGGAGAAGGCACCCCACAGTGGGGTGTGGTCATCCTCAGTCCATTTCTCCATCCTATTGGGATTTTGGGGTGTACATGTGCATGTGTCTGGCATGTTTTCAAGCTGCTGGGGCCAGGATTCAAACCATGGTTGGCCATATGGGATCCAGTTCCCTGGCCCCTGTTTTTCTATATAGCCAAAAATGGGTAGATTTGCTTCTAAGGAAATTAGGATCAGCTGTCCACGGTGTATGCCAGTGTTCATCATACCAAGTTTGTTAATAGCAAAACATTAAAGCCTCTTCACAGTGTCTATCAGCAGGGGCTTTGTTAAATAAATTGTGTTATTCCATACAATGTAATACATGTAGCTCTTACAATGGTGAATTATATTGCTAGGTGAAATAAAATATTTTAAATTATTATGTGAAAAAAATTAAATTTATAGATGAGCATTCTTTTATTATCCAGTTTTCCTTTATTTACATTTTGAGGTTTTTACCATAGGGCTCATGTACTCTCTGGAGAGAGAGAGAGAGAGAAAGCAAGGAATCACCCCCCCCCCGGGAGGGGGCGGTGATGGCCATGCTGTAGTCCCTTCTCTTCCATTCTCCTCCTGGGATGTTGGGCATGCACACAGATGTACCTGGTGTTCATTCAAAACCACCCATCCGGGACTCAAACCATGGTCGGCTATGTGAGAGTCCAGCACCTTAACTACTATGCCACCTCTGGCCCCCATTATCTTGTTTTAACAGAATGAATACAAATTATGAAAGGTGGTTTTTTTCTCTTTATTCACAAATACCTCTGATTTTCCCACAACAAACATAATTGACTTGTTTGGTAAAAGCATGATACTGAAGGTAAACACAAAAATGGGTACCTTCCTTATGTGTTTTTACTTGAGACCTTCTTTTTGTCACTCTCACCTCCCCTGAGCCAAGAACCGTCATCCTGCCAGTGCCAGTGCTGGGAGCTTCCCATTCACTTTGTAGGGAAGAATACACATGAATTCAAGTGGATTTTTTTTTTTTCCAGTTTTGGTATAGGATGCAGGTGATCCCCAGAGAGAGAGAGGGAAAGTGAGATATCACCCTCCGAGGGATGACCATGCCACCCACAGTCCCTTATTCAGTCTCCTCAGGATTTTGGGCACACACACACACACACACACACTCACACTCAGCACGATTTTTGAGCTGCTGGGTCTAGGACTCAAACCGCAGAGTCAGCCATATGGGATCCAGCACCTTAACCTCCACACCACTTGCTGGCACCCAAATGGATTTTGTCAGCTCTCTGACCAAGTGCCACTTGTTTTTTAGAACCTCAGCTCCTCCATGCTAGGGATTCACTTTGAACTCTGCATTCCTGGCCTGCAGGTTCTGCCTTTCCCCCTCTTCCCTCTGAAGGAATTAGAGAATAGGAATTCGGAATAGTCACGTGTTTCTGTCACATGCGACTACCTGGCTTGTTCCTTTCTCATGAATAGGACTTCCAGTTCCTCAACTTGAGGTCATTTTTCACTTGAAGAGAGAGGACGAGTCATGGATGGTCGATCCGCATGGACCTGAGGAGGGAGAATACCCAGAAAGTGTCGCTCTAGGTAACTGAGCATGAGGAGGGTGGGGTGGCGTTTTGTGTACTTTGTGTTTTTTATGCAGGTGTGTGTCAGGGGGGTGTATTGGGTATCCTTTCTTCTGAAATTTAAGTATCCTGTCTTAGTATTTATTTTATTTTGTATCACCCACTAGCTTCCTTTTTTTTTTTTTTTTTTTTCCTTTTTTTTTTTTTTTTTTTTTATTTCTTTCATGGGAGAGGCAGAAAGACAAACACCGGCAGAGTCAGTCTCAGCCTGCCCAGATCATGTCTGTACTTGACATGCCCAGGGGTCTCGGAACATGAACCTGTGACCTCTCCCATGTAGGTCCAGTGCATTACCCCTGCACCTCACCTGGCCTTCATTACGTCCCTCTATTCCTTCAGGCATTCCTCTGAATTCACCACGTTTGTTTCCTCAGATCTGTTTGTTGCCCATTCACACCGATACCCCTCTCCATCACCATCCTCTTCACCCGGTCTACCCCGGTTATCCCACTGTGCTGCCAGTGCACATCCTCCTTCATTCTCAAGTGTCAGTCTTTCCCCGGGGTAGGACAGTGTGTGGGAGCGAGCAGTGCAGTGGCCGTGCATTACTTTTGGACTCATTGTAGTCTCTCTCCTTCCCATCGTAGTATTTCCCAGCCCCGTAAAGAAACTGCACCTGTGTTTTCTGTTTGTTCCAGAGTGGGAAATCAAGTCTGAGATTCAAGATACTTTTGAAGAAGAAAAACCAGAAGAACTGTGGAGGGAAATATTTATAAAGCAGAGTCCTCTGGGTGACAGCTTTCAAGGTCATGACCCCGAGGCTGGGTTGGAAACAGACAAGCAAAGCCCTGCAGTGGAGACTTGGAAGCAGTCCCTGTACCTGGAGAAGACCTTGAGGCGAGTGTCAACCATACCCAAGAGAATTCACGTTAAGAAAGATCGTGACTGCAAGGACTGCGGGAAGACCTTTTATGACCACTCATCCCTCATCCGCCATCGGAGGACTCACACCGGGGAGAAGCCCTTTTGCTGTCCCGAGTGTGGGAAGGCCTTCAGTCACAGGAGCAGCCTGAGCAGGCACGTGATGATCCACACCGGGCAGAGCCCCTATGAGTGCAACCTGTGTGGGAAAATCTTCTTTGATCGCTCGTCCCTGATCGTGCACCAGCGAATGCATACCGGAGAGAAGCCCTTCAAGTGCAACGAGTGCACGAAGGCCTTCTT